TATATCTATCTATCTATCTATATCTCTATCTATCTATCTATCTATCTAACTAGATATATATATATATATATACATTCGTATATATTTGTACGTATATATATATATACAGAGAGAGAGAGAGAGAGAGAGAGAGAGAGAGAGATAGAGAGAGAGAGAGAGGGCGTGTGTGGTTGTGTAGTCAAGTCCATACATGTATCACGGCACTGTCACACTTTCAAAACGGGCTTGGGGCTTAGGAATTCGTTCACTGATCAAGGGGTGTTACAGGCTCATCGTGAAACACAACATGCAACAGACTCTACAGTAGTCTGAGTTGCTTTTCAAGACAGAAAGCCACATGACACGTCCCATGCTAAGAAGCTATCCAAGTTGTTGTCTTACAGAGTGCTCGCACAAAGCCTCTAAATGAGCAGACAGGTACCCGATTACGCCCCATGTCACATAGGAAGACACGCGCCGACAGCCTGAAGTCTCGAACCTGCAATTCCTTGCGAGTCGGGGCGCTCTGGTGCGAACCATCTGGTAGATCCACAGAGCTAAAATGCATCAGCGAGGCCAAGTGCTTTAGCCTGGTCTCCTGGCGGTCTTAGTGAAATTAGCTGCAAGTGTGAAAATTAAATAGCAACACTAGTGGTCGTCGACGTGGTGGTCTCGTAGTCATAAGCGTAGTTGCAGTCGCCGTACTTCTGCTGGTACCACTGGCTACCACTAGACCACTAGCTACCACTGCTGCTGCTGCTGCTGCAGCTGCTGCTGCTGCTGCTACTACTGCTGCTACTGCTACTGCTACTACCACTACTACCACCACTACTACTACTACTACTACTACTGCTACTACTACTACTACCACCACCACGACGACGACTACTAGTTCCATTATTACTACCATTACTACTACTTCTTCTGCTACTGCTGCTACTACTACTACTACCACCACTACCACCACCACCACCACGACGACTACGACTACTACTACTTCTTCTTCTTCTTCCACTAACACTAACTACTAACTGCGAACTACTAACTACTGACTCGTAACTACTAGTGGCTCACACGTCGCTACACACGACCCACTACCTACTGCCTGCTAAGGACCTACTACCCACCACCTGCCACCTACCACTTACTACCTATTACCAACTACCTACTACCCACTACCTTCTACTTACTGCCTACTACTTACTAACTACAACACCTGCAACTACTACTGCTGCTGCTTTTTGCTGATACCGCTACTACTGCGACGACTGACTACTGAACTTGGGGTGTGGCCCAGTGGTGGAGGGGAGAAGTTCCGAAGCACCACGCTGGACCTCAACAGCCTAACCCAGGGCAGATGATTCGACAAGAAACAAACTCCCTAGTGTCCCATGTGCATATGTACTTTTTTTGACGTAACTCCTGCAAAGACGCTGATCCAAAACAACGCTCAAACAATGAAACCAACAACCCGTGTGTCTGTGTGTCCGCTCGTCGCATCTCTCAAACTGGAACACTAAGAAGAGAAACCGAACGTGTACAGAAAGTCATACCCTAATACGCATCTGGGAGTGTTGTTGTTCCAAAACAAGCAAGGATCCTTCATAATGCGCCTTTTTCCGCGGACCGATGCCCCTGAGCACATGGTTAAACGGACCTCTACAGGTGGTCTGCAGAAGCGGCAGTGGTTCATTAAAAGCGGGCATCTGCCGGTGGTCTGCTAAAACTGTCACAACGTTCTTCCTCCGACCGCAAGCTCGGCTCCTTTTAGCCGCAGATCTCATGGGACACTCATCCTAGGACCGAAATGTCTTCGCCTGCCCTGGTGCACGTGTTGCAATAAACGACCGTGACTTTCCATGGACTGCTTGCGCTCAGATCTGTCAAAACTGAGATATCGTGGCCTTGCGACCGTCCAAGAGTCGCAAGGAATTGTCCTCCGCCGACATCTACATCTCTTGCGGGTCATTTTCTGGAAAAACACTCCCCATGTGGGGCCTATGCTCTACGGCGCTATACCGACTTCATCATGAATCGCTGGTCATATTCCCCAGAGCCACCACAGCCTCCGAAGCACCCACGGTACTAACTTCCTTGGTTGTCTCGTTGACGAACTGCACGTAGTTCAACCTTGGAGCCGGCAGATGAATCTCACAAAGCTTGGGCTGAGGCCGGATTCTGGTTCGGTTTAGGGTTTAGGGTTTAGGGTTTGGGGTTTAGGGTTTAGGGTTTAGGGTTTAGGGTTTAGGGTTAAACTTTAGGACCTTTATAGATAGACCTGGGGCTTACGAATTCAGTGGGGTTCGCGACTTTGCTTTCCGGAGCACTGCGTGCCACGGCCAGCAAGCAGTTCTACAGCCTTGACCGTGCACGTGTTCGGAATGCAGTCGGACACAGAAAGCTCCATGGTGAACTCAGCGTTGCTGTCGAGGCCCATGACGCTGACGGCTTCGGCGGCGGCGTATGCCTACAGCGGTCCTAGACCATAAAAGGCTTAAAGTTGCCGGGAATATACCATAAAGGAGACCCAACACAGGGAGCCCAATGTTGGACAACCTCCCCCTCCCTCCGCCTCTTGATCAATAAGTGCTCCGTCGTTGTTGTCGAAGTCAGCCACGCTGATGAACTTCGGCAAACTCATCATGGCCCTGACTTCCACTCCTTGCAAAAGCAAGCTTGATTTGGCGCACACGAGGGAGCTTTGGTTGCGTGCGTAGGCACAGACTGCCGTGGAGACCAGTTCGTAAGCGTCAAATAACCGGAGCAGAACGAAGCGACCGTAGACTTGCCTTGTTCGTTCTTTTGGCTCTTGACCTGGACTTCGACAGTTTGCTGCTCCACGGTGGCGTTAGTTGCGTTCCATGCGCCCGGCGTCTCGAAACGCTGGAACTCCGTGAGCGTCAGCGAGAAGCTGCCTGCGTCCAGGAAGCTGGGGAACTCCCCCGCAGCGCAACTGCACGAGGAGGGTATGGCAACGCTTGGGCTGAGCTCGGGCAGATGGCATCCCTGCCGACGTGCGCTTCCCACGGCCACCGCATCCAACGCTTCCTTCGTCTCGTTCTCGCCTTCCTGCTCCACCTTGCCAAGGAAGGAGCCGCGGCCAGGGTTTGCAAAGCGAAGCAAGGAGGGTACACAAGTAGTCCAGTCCAGGAACTCCCGGCACTCAACCTGCTCCAAGCGGATCAGGTCTGTAAAGCGTCGATTCTTGTCCGTCGCTGCCCTGAGACCTTCAACTAAAGCCATGGCCGTAGCCAGGGCTCCGCTTTCGGCTCCGTTCTCGCTCCGGTAAACAGCGGCGAACGCCTCAGCCTCTGCCTCCGCGATTCCGAGTCGGACCAGCCCCTCGACAAAGGCAACTTCATCGTTCTCCGCAGCGGTGAAAACACCGTTCACATTGGCAAAAACAAAAGCGAACGTCTCGGTGAAGGCATAAGGCCCGAAAGAACCCAAGTCGCGGTCGTCAAGACTGGCATCAACGAGGCGAGAGCACACCAGCGACTTCTTGTCGCTGGTGTAGGCACAAATCTCTCGAAATGTCGATGGTATTTCGAGAATCGCTGGAGATGCCGTAAGACCCGAGTATGTTGCGATGACGAAGCGGCCGTTCGGATCCTGGCATACTCTTCAACCCTCCATGGAGTTGCGAGAAGACGAACTTAGCAGCCGGCGCCCTCTTTTAGGCTTGCTTGGAGGTTCGCTGGCGCTTATAACTAGAGTTCTACGCAGGATAACTTTCGTTATAACCCATATTACGGGACTTGTAGCCTAAACCCTAAACCCCACTTATAACTACCCATGGAACCCCCAAGTGGGTCCGGGGAATTCTCGTAGTTGACCTGATTGGCGAAGGTCAACGAGCCGGAGATGTTCACCACGTCAGCTTCGAACGCATCCTCAAAGTCCGGATACCGGAAGAACCTGGGTTTAGGGTTTAGGAGTTTAGAGGTTTAGGGGTTAGAGGTTTAGGGGTTTAGAGGTTTAGGGGTTTAGGGGTTTAGGGACCCTTAGCCGATCGCCCCCTGGATTGACTCTTCTAGCCGATTCTAGAGCCACTTCGAACGGACACTTCGCTGAGGCTTAGCAAGTCTCTGCTGAGTGACAAGGTCAGGTCAACATCGAAAGTCTGGTCGGTGATGCTGAGAAAGATTTCTGGCTCTGGCATGGGCGTACCGGAAACCTGTGCACTTCCTACGTCGAGCCGTGCCGTGAAGCGCGAGTCCCTCAAGAAGGAACCACGCCCCGGGGGCGAGAGCTCACAGGAGTCAGGCTGGAAGCCCGTCACCTTGAGGAAGCTCGTGAAATCCCCGTTGATGTCCGCCAGGCCATAGACTTTTCCGAGAAGTGCTTCTGCTTCTTCGGGCTCGTCCTCTAGGACGGTTACAGATCCGGCTTGAAGAAAGGCATAGAGGTCGATGGCAGCTCGTGCAAATGCCTCAATGCTCAAGAGTGAGCTGTTGGTGGCCTTGTTGTACTCCGTACAAGTGAGCAGCCATTGGCCGCTCCATGCCTTAGGCACCGTGCAGAAACTACAAAGCAACACGAACTTACCCCAGTGCTGGTGCTGCTGCCGCTACTGCTACTGCTACCACTACTGCTACCTGCTACAACCGGTTCTGCTGCTGCTGCTGCTGCTGCTCCGGCTCCGCTCCCATGCCCGATGCTACTACGAACGTTACACAAACCTAACTCCAAAGCAACATCATGAACGTCAAGAGTTTTCAGGCTTTCCAGCTTCAGGTGCACACAGCTTTCTGCGGTCGCTGAGGTTGGTCGTGCCATTACCTGCGATCGCCAGCGCAGAATCAAGACTTGTTTCAGAAATACATGTCGTAGTTTGTAAACAATGTCTATAGTCTCAAACCTACAAGTGTAAACCTCTTAACAGCAAAGCCCCCAAGATGCAGCTAGCCAACTTCTTTCTGGGTTTCTGTCTAGATGCTAAGCTGCGACAGGTGCGCCTCTACAAACCTTGCATCTTCCGGCGAAGTCTGAAATGACAGCCTCCCGGTGACCTGGAGCTTGCGAGATAGGGTTTAGGGTTTAGGGCACACTGCTTGCTTTTTCTTCGGAACTCTTTTGAAATAAAATGTAATATATTTTTGCGTAGTATAGCATAAAATGCATCATGGAATATATAACATAGTATATACTGCTGGAAACTCAAAAGCGAAGACCACCCGGCCTGCTCGGCCCAGGTAGTGTTCCCAGCGCTCAAGAAAGAGAAGATGTGGATGTCGAAGGCCTGGCCGTCGACCATCGGATAGCCACACTGGCTGGGCTGGATGGGTGCTCGGTATTGCTTCCGACCCCTTCCCCAGGGTCCATGGAAACGATGTTGCCACCACGGCCGCCAGCTGGACTCCGTCTTCTTTGTGCCGGCCTTGTCGCGCCGCGAGTACTGCAGCAGGATGGTGTCTTCATCCACCAGGGAAGCGAGCACAACCTGGGCTTGCAAGCTCACAACGCGCAGACTCTGCGCCAAGCTTTTGATACAACTTGTGCAGGACAGGGCACCGCGGCGAGAGCCCCGAGCAAGGCGGTCCGGAGCATGATTCAGGGCTTTGGAGGCAGGAGCACACTCGGTCTGAGGTCAAAGCTGCAACAAGTTCCTGGCCAAACTGTAAGCCCCGGCTTCTGCGCTGAGATCATGAACAAAGTCGGCTAGGCAGAATCATGCTGATGGGACTGATTATCCTCACGATCATGCCATGATGATGCTGAGGAGGTTGGCTCGATCCCCTTCTGGACTTTGAGGGCCCGTAAAGGTAAAGAGAAAAGTTGAGTAACTAACCCCGTATAAGCCCTACTAAACCCTATAAGCCCTACCAAACCCCAATAAACCCCTCATAAACTGCAAGCAAACCCTAAGAAAGCCGGAGAAACCCCTTCTAAACACCTAAGGAACCCCTGAGCCGGTACCACACCTGAACCTGGTCTTGGTTCGACTCCTCCAACCTGGCGGCTGGAAGCTTCGGGGAGGCCTTTTTAGGGTTTAGGGTTTAGGGGTGCCGTTGAGGTACCTTAGAGGGATCTGCACGGGCTCCTTCAGGGCTTAAGTTCCGGTAAGGTACCTTTGAGGGATCTGCATGTTTCAGGGGTCTGTGTACAGTAGGGGTTACAGTACTATCAAAGGTTTAGAGAGTTAATGCGGGGTACCAGGATTTAGGACACCAGGGCTTGACTGGGGGGTTTTAGGAGAGAGCTGCATGCTTTGGGCTTTCGGGTCTTAAGGCTTCGATCCCCTCTCACTCGTGGTCCTGTTTTGCTTTCTGCTTCGCTAGCACTCGTGGTGCTAGGATTCCGGGCTTGTGGATTTCGGCGCCCACTGTTGGACGCTCCTGGGGAATCATGCCCGAAGCGATCACACGACCATGCCAAACCGCAATGGCAGGAGCGCAAGCAGTACTAGTGCGAGCTTCAACGAGCCGTCAACAGAAGCAATGGCGGCAAAGACAGAATGGCCACAGCCACAATCTGAAGCAGCAACCGCGATCACTATGCCCATGCTTGACTGACTGTGTGGCCATAGCAGGCAGGCACCATGCTATGGTTTTCTCAAGACAAGAATGCAATACGAGATTCGAAACCCCCCGCGAGGAATGCTTTTCCTTTCCTAGTCTCTTGTTTTTTCGTTTGCAGCTACATCCACAGTTGCATATCCACAGGAGCAGGCCATCCCTCAGCAGAGATGAGACAAAAACAGCAAGAAAGGTGTGGCAGAGTTGACTCTGCGTGCCGCCGCTTGGCAAAACCAAGCCGGGTAGGCTGGTCTCTTCGCACCTGCTGGCTTCGCGTGTAACATAGGGGGTCCGAACAATCTCGAACCGCATCCGCATGTGTTCCCTAGAGCCTTATCGGACTCTATATACCCCAAAACCCTTTTCTAGTTACTTCAAGCGGTTTAGGGTATTTCAATAAAGCACGAGCAAAGGCTCGGGCATAGCGATTCTCAGGATAGATACTCTTAAAACTCGGGCTCCGTCAGAGGAGGCTATCAGGAACGTGTCGTACCAAGACTTGCGCGTGCCAAAACAATTTCCTAAGCGTTGACATGTGGCACATGTGACTTAAAGCTGCTCCTGCTTCGGAATGCACTTGGCTGCAGCCTCCGCTTTTGCGTTTGATGTCAGGGCTGAATCCTTTGTGGGGCTTGGGTTTGCGAGGACAGCAGGGTGGCGGAAGAAGTTGCAATAGCATCGGCGGCAGCAGAGCAAGAGCACTATTAGACCGTTAGTGTTGCCATCAAGATCACAGTCACGATCGCCGTGGCCGTCCCAGTAGTACTACGATGACAACATGCAAGTCATTGTGGCTTGGTGGCAATGTTGCTAGGCTTTGCGACTTTGCGGGTAGTATGCACAGAGCTTGCACTGCACTCTCAAGGCTGCTTCGCTTTGCAGCTCATCCCTGCTACAACCTCGTCTCCAAACTTCGGGCTCTTCTCGCTCTATCGCTTTAGGGTTCAGGAGCCACGGTTTAGGGTTTAGGTTTTAGGGTTTAGGGTTTAGGTTGTGGGGACTAAACAACATCACCCTTTGAAGTTGTTCCAGCTTGCGCGCCGGCACGCAGGGCACAGCAAGGCCGAAGGCTCAACCCCTACACAGACATACCTGCCGGTCGGTTTCGACTCTCACACTCACACAACGCCTGCCCCTCGGTTTAGGGCTCGGGGTTGCAAACCACGCCGCCCGACACCTAACTGCATATATCCAAGCAGCAAACTTCTGAAGCCCTAGCAAAAACCAACTAAACTCCAGAGCTTGTCTGATGACCTGTTGAAGCGAAGAGTTCGCGATGATCTTCGCTGCCCGGAGTAGAACCTTGTCGGGCTTACACATCTGCAGAACTTTCCGGCTTTTCTGTCGTGGTTTCCAAGGCCCTTGACAAAGCCCTTGACAAAGGATTGTCTTACATCATGATAAAGGATCTCTCTCTGATGTAGGCAATGTAAGTAATGTAAGGTTTTTTTTTTTCACGGAGGGCTTAAGATCAACCCGAAACCTTAAATATCCAAGACCCTCAACCCACCGCAAACCCTGATCCCTAAACCCCTGCTTGATTGAACCCGAAAGCCGCAAACCCCAAACTCTAAGCCCCACCCTAAACCCTAAACCCTCAACGCCTTTGCAGCAGAAATCCTAAATCCTAAACCCCCAAACCCTCAACCCCAACATAACCTAACACTCCTGAAACTCCAAGCTCACGCCTCCATGCCCGACGTGCGCGGCCGGTCGGCTAGAACGAGTGCCTCGGTCTTGAACCCACACGAAATCCCAGATGAACAACTTAGGGGCTCAGCAACTACTATCAGAAGCTACCCTAAACCCCACACCCTAATCCGTGGTTCAGAAATTCGGATGTTTGCATGGCAAAAAGATACGCACGAAGGAGTTTGGGTTGACGAACTTGGGTTCAAAAGCTTTGGAATAGGGAGAGCCGCCGGCAACGCCCCTTTACTCTGAAAGCGCGCAAGCCTGGAATCCTATTTTCCTGTGGCCGACAGCAGCTGCTGTAGATGAGCATAGCATCATATAACAATAATTACTATTATTGTTATTGTTATTATTACTATCATTAGCATTATTACTATTATTATTATTACTATTATTACCCCAACCCGCCCCACTTCAGAACGGCGAGTGTCCTTTCCGAGGGCAGCAAGGAGCCACAAGCCTGAAAATACTTCTTGGCAACCGGGCCGTCGTGGTGGAACTCGTTGTGCGGCTGCTGTGGCTCAGCACCTGAACTTCTTAGAAGATCGTGGTCCAATAGCGGCTTTTAATGGTTTCAGGAGGCCTTTACGGCTTCTTTATTTTGCAGCCCCGAATTTGCGCAGTTCTTCGCTGACTCGGGAACTGCAGCTTCGTAAATTGCCACCCCGGGACTCCCCACAAACCCAAAACCCCTCAACCCGAGATCCGAAACCCATACATCCGAGATCCACAACGCCGAAACCCTACATCCAAAACCCCGAACTCGAAACCCGTATCCCTAAACTCTAAACCCTATATAAACCCCTAAACTCCTAAACCCCAAAACCCCTAAACCCTAAACCCCTAAACCCTACACCCTTATCCCTAAACTCTAAACCCCAAACCATAAAGCCTAGGCTCTAAACCCTTGAGAACCCTAAACTCAACTCTCGGCCCTAAGCCCCAAAAG